GACACAGAAAATCATAGTTTTTTGAAGAATTGATTAATCAGAACCCACACGAAGTGGACGAGTTTAAAGTCTGGCTGGCTCGCCAATATGTAGGGTTTGAGAAATTGAGTGCTTTAAGAGCTCAATTTATATTACCTCTACTTAAGACTAGCTGTGATACTCTATTTAAATATAGAATATCAACCTGCTTGGTCTTTATTGTGTTTAATCAGAAGATTCTAGGATTCTTTGTTTTATTCAGGGACTGTAAATATTTAGTTTTGATTCAGGAAAGAGTCAGGTTTGCAAAAGTAAGAATTTAATTCACAAACAATTAAAACATGACAAGTTAACTAACATTTACTGTGAGTTGATGTATCTAGATGGAGTAGATGTGATGTATGAAACCTATTTGTGAATGCGGTGTTATCAGAACCTCCGTATCTAGGAAAGCTGAGTTCTGGGTGTAAAAGAATTTGGTTTGCATTAAGCTATGAAGTTGATTCTTATCAAAAACACATCAGACGCAATCTGTCATGTCTACATACCCACTCAAAGGCCCTCGTGATAGATCCGGAATGTCGAAGTCCTTGGACTCCCAGGCACCGAGGTCCGTAGAAGAAACTGTGGCACTAATAGACCGGTCTTAGAGTTGTCTCCAGGTCACAACAGGTAGTTGTTCTGCGTCTCGAATGGATTTTTAAGGGATCTTGCTGTATCAGCTTCTCAGGTGAAAAAAGATTTTGACGGCGTGTCAAAAGCTTTAATGGGTTAGAGAGGTTTTGCATTAGATGGCTGGTCTGAAGCTTTCTCAAGAACTGATGAATCACCAAAGTAATCTGGTTTTAATGTTCTCATGTTATGATTTGTGTAGCCAACCAGAGGTTGACATGTTGAGGAATATTACCAAGACAACCTCAGAAACACGCCTTCTTTGATACCGGATGCTCTGATCTGGGGTAAAGGGCTATTTATGTGTCACGCGTTTGACTTTACTTTTCTTTGTTCTTGTGTGAGTGCAAATGGTGATGACCTCATCATATCAACATGCTGAAACATATATCAATCAATGTAATCATAACATAACATTCATTTCAAACTTCAATCACAGATTAATGAAAGCATTTCATTATATTATAATTATTATAAGAAGCAATAAACAAATGTTTATTTAATGATTATCTAATTTATAAGTTTTAAATGTTCATATTTAATTTAAGAAAGCATTCTTTGATTTAGCAACTAATCCGAGCTGCGAGTGTTCACCTATTCAGAGGCATGAAGAATCCTGTAGGACGATAAGGGAAGCTTGGGCCTTGAGGAGAGAACATAATTGTTGACAATACGTTATCATGTGTTCAGAGCTGCAGAGAGGCTCTGAGCTCCAGCTGATGGGATGAAGGCAGGCAGATTAAAGGGAACACATGCAGTCTCGTGTGTCCATTTTGACCAGATGTTGAAGGGTCAAACTGTACCTAAAAACGACTATTGCCAGACATTACACTGGTGTGTGAACATTTATAACAAATGGAAAACCCTTCTTGATCAACTGTGGGAATTTATATAAAACACAAAATCTTGGAGGAGCACCTCAGATTTTTACTAATAATGCTAATGTTACCTGTTATGTTAGGGTGGGTTAATGCATTTTTCTGAAATGGTGACCATTATGAACCATCAACCATGTTTTATCAGTCATATGGCCGTCCCCCAGCCCAGGTGGAGTTGGGGTTCACCTTCAGAACACCGGAGATGGTGTTTCTAAGGTAGAGTCACAACTTTGCCCCAGGCTAAAACACAGAGGCTTTAGATTAATAATTTCCCCTTTAGATGTTGGTTATTGATTTTCAGAAAGGTTTCTTGGCTGATTAAATAAACATAATCACACTCATGGTAATGAGTTTCACACTTACAGACCTGAAGGGCAAAAAACCTATTAATTGAGCTACTTCAGGAGTTCAGCTCTGCAAAAAAAGCTACTAGCACAGCAGCCTCCATGGACAGGTTTTCTATAAGACTATTTTTTCACAAAGGAGGTTCTCACTTGCATAACAACATGCAATAAATCACTAATTAATATATTTATTACATAAGTAACTAATAGTCACTTCATTTATATTTCATTAAAGTCAATAATAATAATAATAATAATAATAATAATAATAATAGTAGTAGTAATAATCATAGTAACATTTCTGACCAAAACATCCAGCAGACCAATGTGCCATGATCAACCCCTCCAGGTTCCCCTCAGTTGTCCCCTAGTGTTCTGTGTCCTTATAGTCCTCAGCTCCCTCCAGGTTTTCCTCATGTTCTCCTAGTCTCTCCACTGTAGTTTTCTATAGGTTTATGATTTCAGTTCTTTAGTCTCCTTTAGTGTGTGTGTTCCCTTCCCCACTTCAGATCATCCGTTTACTTATTATTAGTTTCCCCGGTGTCTTTGTTTCGACAGTGTTTTAAGTTCGGGTTATTTTAGTAGCATTGGTTTAGGATTTAGATTTGGTTTTCTCCCCTGTTTATTTCTGCTTCTTCCCTCATTTCATTAGTTTCACCTGTGCCCAATTCCCCACACACCTGCTCCTCGTCTCCTATCACCCAGCCCTGTGTATATAACCCTGTCTGTGTCTTAGTGTTTGTTGGTCCATTGTCGTGTGTCAGCGTTGTTTTTTTCCCCCCTTTGTGCTCATAATTGAGCTTTGGTTTTTTTTGGCTTCCTGAGTTTCAGTTTTCAGGATTGGAATCCTGCACCTTTCAGCATTTTTGTGTTGCTACCTTAAATAAAGGATTTTACTTTTTTCAACCGCTCCTGCTGCGAGTCGTTCTGGTGTTCTGCATCTTGGGTCCTAACCTCCTCCTGCTCTCAATGTGACACAATGTGTCTATATAGAAACCTTCTGATGTTGAAGAAAATGAAAAAAATAATCTTTGGGACTTTTTATTGCTAAAACACAATTTTAAAAAGTGTTCGGTGTACCTTTGGTTAAAGGTGGTAGCACTGTTGTCTCGCAGCAAGAAAGTGGCCGGTTTGATTCCCACCAGCACTATATTTCTGCTCGAGGTTAGCAGGGTGTCCCCATGCATGTGTGAGTTTTCCTCCCACGGACCAGACACCTGCTTGTTAGTGTGACTGAAGACTCTAAATTGTCTCTATGTGTGAGTAAGTGTCCCTGTGCTGGACTTGAGACCTGTCCAGGGTGTCCCCTGTCTCTCGTCTGATGGCTGGTGGAGATAGACACCAGCATCCCCACAACCCTAGTAATGATGAAGCAGTTTAGATGGATGGATGGAGGATGGCTGTGGGTTAGTGTGACATTATTATTATACATTTTCCATAATTTAAGTGCCCACACATTCCTTTGATGACACTCGCCTGAGTTGTCAGCACAGATCAGGACATGTTTTGTTTTTTCAAAAAAGACCAGTGTGTTGCAGTTTATTTCTGTCTCATTGGTTGATGCACCCGCGGCCAGCCTGACGATACAAATCCCATCGACTATGCTTCATGCAGCACACGATTCAATCATGAAAAATCCTTAGAGGAATTCAGGCATATGGCAATTATCTGTCCACATGTTGACACAGTTTAAACACTTTCATGTCAGCAAAATGGTCCTCCAAAATACACAAAGAAGAATTTTTCATTTAGTAGTGTCACAAAATCAAGCTGTCTTAGTAATCCTGTCTCATTTTACCTGGTTCTTAGCCATGGGCCTTGAATGGCTCAGGCTCATAAAGGGGACAGTCGTCTGCTGGATGATGGGCCAGATGTGACCAGATCACATGAAATCAATAAAATCCATTTGCAACAAAAACAACCAGGTCTTGTTCCCAACCACACTTCAGCATCGCTATAAAGAAGGCTTTAACCCTTATTCCAACACCTTTAATGTTATTCCTGCATCACATGGTGCCATGGTACAAGTAGCAATGTAAAAGCCAACATGTTTCCTGGTCCATAAACTGGAACAACAGTCCATTCTGTTAATTAAAACTATCTGAGATAAATCAGAATTGGCCAAAATCTGTATCAACGAACATGAAATCTGCATCATCCCTGAAAACCAAAATATGTGCATCTCTATCTAAAAGTCACTCTCATGGGTAATTCAACCATTCATGAAAATCTGGGAAATATTTTCCTGATGAAGTAACTTCCACAGAATTCAACCTGGTTGAGCTACATGATCTCAACCAAACCGCTGCTGGCATTCAGCCTCTTGAGCTGTGGTGTGAGCATGAACAGGACCGTTCTGTCAAACCTGCCCGTCCGTTCACAGAGCCCTCCAGCTCTAAATCACAGCGTTACCAACATGACTAATCAGAACCAGAAATTTATGACCTTTCCCTCCCTCTTTTTGAAACACCACACACACACACACACACACACACACACACACACACACACACACACACACACACACACACACACACACACACGTTGCTTCTCTGTGTGGACACTGCCTTTTAACCCACTCACACCAGCAGGACTTAAACATGGGGCTTATGGGTCAGCGATGGACTGATTCCCCTCTTTGATATTTGAGCCGTGGTTTTGACTGACTTCTTGCTGCAACACTACTTGTGTGCTTCTATGGTTATCAATGAGAAATGCTTAGTTAATTATTCTGTACATCTTTAGATGTGTACGATCCAGATTTTGGTGACTCCAACAGGTTTAACAACATATAAAATTTATTTAAAATCTTATTTCTTTATTTTCATTAAAAACCTTAAAGCAGTATTACACACAGTCCGCCCGTCTGTCACAGAAGAAGCTTTGGTGTCAAGATTTCAACGATGAACTGCTTGAGAGGATTTTACCCAAAAATAAATTCAATTCAATTCATGACTTTAAAACATTTTCATCCACTTTGTCCTGTTGCTTTTGTTCTCTTTATCTAATTGTATGCAAAAGTTACAGACAGCCACAAAGTGAAGAAAACATTTTTTTTAACCAAAGGCCAAAGGTCAAGTATGTTATTTTCTTCCTAAACCCTCTCCCTGCCCCGGGCGCTTCCTACCTGTGCTGGGTGTGTGATTGTGAGTCCGTGCAGATTCCTTGTGTGTTTCCTTCCCTCGGTCTCAGCGTAGTTTCTCTGGCTACGTGGGCTGCAGGCTGCTGCTCTTTTATAGACCCACCCCTCCAACCTCCTCCTCTCATTCACCCTTTCATTAGGGGAGAGGGAGAGAGGAGCATTCAAGCAGGCGAGGAGGAGGTGAGGTAAAGAGGAGGGCAAAGAGGGAATACAGGGATGGATAAGAAAAGGGAAAAGATGAAAGTGAAACAATATGGGAAGTAACAGTGTCCTAGAAATACTCATTTTCTATTTTCTGGTGAAGTTTTATGTAAAAACAATTTTCAGAAAAGCAAAACAGAAGAACACAAATCCTTGGATGACAAAAAATGAAAATTTTCTGAAAATAATTTACCTGGAGAAGCATTAACACAACGTGATATTTCCCCGAAGTACTGGATTAAAGCTGCAATAGCAAATTTGGAAAACAAATTGGCTTCTAAATGTTTGTTGCATGACTCTTAACAACGTTCTAACCTAGTATAGCTATAAATAAGTTGTAGAGATAAAAAAGAAACCTAAAAGTAATAATAAAGTGGATCTCTCACATTTGTCTAAAAACCTCCTCCAATAACATGTTTCAGACTGAAAGCAACTATTAGACCACGTGCTTGTTGGTCTTAGCAAATCACAGCACTTCTTCACTTCCCTGGGTCCTCCACTCATCACACACTCATGTATTTAGCAACAGAACACCACTGGTTTGAGAGGTTCTCCGCTCAATAATACCAGAGAAGAAGAAGGAGCCGGCTGCTACCACTTCAGCTTTAAGATAAACTACTAGAGTCCCAAAAACAAACACCATTTGAAGTCACAAACAACAAAAGACATTTGGACCTAGAAAACAGCGACTGGTGTTTAGCGCGATCTCGTTTCGTCTGGCATCGCAGGTTTCCAGTTCCGGCAGAACACCGGGGGAGGGGTGAGTGTGTTTGTGTTCAGAACTTAGCTTGTTTGCAGATTCGCCATTACAGCTTTAATTAATCTTGTGTAACATTAACATTATCAACAGCTTCTCATTTTAGTGTTTTAGTATTCACACTAATTACATTTCACATCATCCTTCTGCATTCGCCGCATTATATAAGCATCACGTATTAGGCAACATTTAATTGGTTTGGTGGTTGTTACCACAAATCAAAATCCTATTTATCGTACAGTAATTTAGTTGAAATCTAAAGTTCTTCTGACATCCAACATTCAAACTTTTGTTTGCAAATCATATAGTTTGTTCTTCTTGCTTTTAAATTGCTCTGATTTGTGCCAGAGGAAACTTTCCTGACCTAAAACTAAGCAGATCTTCCTCAGACTGACAGGGACAACACCCCCAGAGGTAGCTGTCGAATCCACAGTATCCACATTTGCAGTAGTCTCTACTAGAAATGAATGCCTTGTAATTCGTACTCTGAGGGAAAAAGCTTTGGTGCACCAGTTTGAGGAACTAGAAGATTGCCACATCACAGAAGAGCTAGATGTAATTTTGGGATTTTATTAATTACAGTCGAGAATGAAGACAGACAAGGATGTTAGAATTCTGAGATGAGCCAGTACACCTGGGTCAGTCTAAGTACGGTTAACTGCTGTCTTCTTTTTAATGCACTTACCTTAAAGGTGTCGAACACTTGTTTAATCAATACATTTGCAGAGGATGTAGGTAGGAATTAATGCTTTTGTAAGTCGTAATTGGTGTGGGGGTGGGAAAGCTCAGATGCGTTGTTTCAGGAAGTACAATTCAGCTGGAGGAGAAAGTAGAGCGGTTCACATGCCAGGACAATTCTGCAGATTTTTTACATGATCTTGCCCTCCTGACAATCCTAAGGATGCAAACAATAACTGTAAAGTCATTAAATATCATCTAATCAGATAATCCTACCATGTGTGATGTGTTAAAGCTTCTCGCCAGAGTATTTCTCTTACCCAATGGCTCCATCTAGTGGCGGACAAGCATATCACACTCCTGTTTTTTTAAGATGGCGACTTCACGTTTTTGTTTATAAATGTGCTTCTGTAGCCTACAAACCAGTGTTGTCAAAAAATCGATACCTAGATATAAATTGATACTAAAAGTGGTATCTAAATTAGATATTCCATCCCTGTGGTATCGATATTATGGACTATTATACACAGCCTTCTTCAAGTACACCGGCACGCACGACAGCCAGATGCCGTAAAGAAGCCTCCGCCTCCCAGACAAACAGAAGAAGAAGATGCTGCATGGCTACATTGCAATTTCCCATGCGAGTTGTCTCCGATCCAAGTTTTGTCTGCCAAATAAATAAACAAAAACATAAACAGCGAATTTGGGAGGCGCTTCACAGCCCAACTTCATTAGCACACCAAGTCCGACACGTAGTTGTATATTCACGCTTATGTGCTTAAAGGAAACTCCCGTTTATTACAACCCGGACTTAATTTCTAGCATGCAGTACGTTTGTTTACTCACGCTGACAACTTTGGTGCTACTTGGATTCCCCGGGGTATTTAGATCCATCGGCGAATCGCCATCAGCGTATATCCATATAACAGGTGCGGACTGGCACCCATGGTGCAGCCTCGAAATAAGACATTATCTGCACCAAAACATCTTCATGTCGAAAGGTTTATTTAGGAATCATTAACATGATTCCCCTGTTCGTTTGGAGCGGGTCTGGGATTTCTAGGCGTGAACAGACTAGCCGCGGCTAATCTAACCGGCGTTTTTAATGACGTCACTGCCGTGCGCCAATCTGTTTTTATTAAGATTACCGGTAGATGTACCTTTGTCCTACTGTGGAGAAATTCGTTTTCTCCCTTTATTGACCAACAGAGTTGTTCAAAAGTACAGAACAAAACATATGGCATTACATCTTATGACAAAAATGCACCTTAAACAGAGTTTAAGCAGCAAAACATCACTCTGCAAATAGTGTGTATATAGTGAGACAATTCATGATTTAAAGTGTTAACTTTCGCCAGTTTTTGTATGCACTTTTTAAAAAATGCTGATACTTGAAAGGTTTAAGCACTTTACACACTTAATTCTTAACATTTAATTTTTCGTCTTCGTCTTCGTCTTCGTCTTCCTCCGCTTATCCGGGTCCGGGTCGCGGGGGCAGCATCCCAATTAGGGAGCTCCAGGCCATCCTCTCCCCGGCCTTGTCCACCAGCTCCTCCGGCAGGACCCCAAGGCGTTCCCGGACCAGATTGGAGATGTAACCTCTCCAACGTGTCCTGGGTCGACCCGGGGGCCTTCTGCCGGCAGGACATGCCCGAAACACCTCCCCGGGGAGGCGTCCAGGAGGCATCCTGACCAGATGCCCAAACCACCTCAGCTGGCTCCTTTCGATCCGGAGGAGCAGCGGTTCTACTCCGAGTCCCTCCCGAATGTCCGAGCTCCTCACCCTATCTCTAAGGCTGAGCCCGGCCACCCTACGGAGGAAACTCATTTCGGCCGCTTGTATCCGCGATCTCGTTCTTTCGGTCATTACCCAAAGCTCATGACCATAGGTGAGGATTGGGACGTAGATCGACCGGTAAATTGAGAGCCTGGCTTTCTGGCTCAGCTCCCTCTTCCCCATGACAGATCGGCTCAGCGTCCGCATCACTGCAGACGCCGAACCAATCCGCCTGTCGATCTCCCGATCCCTCCTACCCTCACTCGTGAACAAGACCCCGAGATACTTAAACTCCTCCACTTGAGGAAGGACCTCTCCCCCGACCCGGAGGTGGCAAGCCACCCTTTTCCGGTCGAGAACCATGGTCTCAGATTTGGAGGTGCTGATCCTCATCCCAGCCGCTTCACATTCGGCCGCGAACCTACCCAGCAAGAGCTGAAGGTCAGAGCTGGATAAAGCTAGGAGGACCACATCATCCGCAAAAAGCAGAGACGAGATTCTCCTGCCACCAAACTCGACACACTCCTCACCACGGCTGCGTCTAGAAATTCTGTCCATAAAAGTGATGAACAGAACCGGTGACAAAGGGCAGCCCTGGCGGAGTCCAACCCTCACTGGGAACAGGTCCGACTTACTACCGGCTATGCGGACCAAACTCACGCTCCTCTGGTAAAGGGACTGAATGGCCCTTAACAGAAAGCCACCCACCCCATACTCCTGGAGCGTCCCCCACAGGGTGCCCCTGGGGACACGGTCATAAGCCTTCTCCAAATCCACAAAGCACATGTGGATTGGTTGGGCAAACTCCCATGCCCCCTCCATCACCCTTGCAAGGGTATAGAGCTGGTCCACAGTTCCACGGCCAGGACGAAAACCACATTGCTCCTCCTCTATCTGAGATTCAACTATCGATCGGACCCTCCTCTCCAGTACCTTGGCGTAGACCTTTCCAGGGAGGCTGAGGAGTGTGATCCCCCTATAGTTGGAACACACCCTCAGGTCACCCTTCTTAAAGATGGGGACCACCACCCCGGTCTGCCACTCCCTAGGAACTGCCCCCGATGACCACGCAATGTTGTAGAGACGTGTCAACCATGACAGCCCTACAACATCCATAGCCTTGAGATACCCAGGACGAACCTCATCCGCCCCCGGGGCTCCGCCGCTGTGTAGTTGTTTGACTACCTCAGCAACTTCTGCCCCCGAGATCGGACAGTCCATCCCCAGGCCTCCCAGCTCTGGTTCCTCCTCGGAATGCGCATTGGTGGGATTGAGGAGCTCCTCAAAGTATTCCTTCCACCGTCCGACTATAGCCTCAGTTGACGTCAGCAGCTCCCCATCCCCACTGTAAACAGTGTGAGCGAGTTGCTGCCTTCCTCTCCTGAGGCGCCGGACAGTTTGCCAGAACCTCTTTGGAGCCGATCGATAGTCTTTCTCCATGGCCTCACCAAACTCCTCCCACGCCCGAGATTTTGCCTCGGCAACTGCCACTGCTGCACCCCGCTTGGCTATCCATTTAATTTTTGCAATATAAATTGAGGAATGTTATTTTTTGAATAAACTTGTTCAATAAATTGGTGTTTTTAAATAGTATCGAAATCGAGTATCGAGTTTTCCCCCCTGTATCGAATCGAGATTGAAATTTTAGTATCGTGACAACCCTACTACAAACAGAGCTAAAACAGAGTTTTAC